GGGCTACCTTGAAAGAAGGATGCAATCTCAAACACGATCCTCTTTCTTCTATTTGTCTTTCTGCCGAGGTATCGCAGCTCCCGCTGACTTAAATGCTATTTCCTATTTCCTATTTCCTATTCCGGTGAAGCCAAAGTATAAGGATAGAGATTGTCATAAGCCAACAAAACTGAACATTGATGGTTCGATACAAGTTAGGGGTAGGAATAAATCATTAATATTTAAGATTAGTGCAATCATCACAACAACACAATAAGCTAGCAGGAGCTGTAAAGGTTAGAGTTACAATAAGGGAATGGCAGCTGGTAAATTATAGAGTAGCGGGCGGCAACACACGACGTAGTCGGGTGTTGTCGCCAGGGCTAGCTTAATAAAAAGAAGATTGCAATGAGGGAATGAATGATACCGGGCGGCAACACACGACGTAGTCGGGTGTTGTTGCCAGGGCTAGCTTGAAAGATGGGTGCAATCCGAACATAATCCTCCTTCTTCTATCTGTCTTTCTGCCGAGGTATCGCAGCTCCCGCTGACTTAATTTTCGAGAGGAAACGCCATACAATAGTACCATGAGTGTTACTGTAGACAATGTACTGGGCATGTACATACGGTAGAGTGTACCATGGTCAACACGTAGATGTACTTACTCACAAAGTTCTTTATATCTTAAGTCTGAGGCGTCTCAGATGCACAATGACAAAAATGGCAACACAATGGCGAAGACAGAGACGGTCGTGTCGCCAACAAGACGGTTGGTCTTGTCGCCAAACAAACAATCAAGCGAGTATGCCACCAAGGTCATTGCCAAGCGGTCCATTCCCATTCAAATGGATGCCATTGCGCACGCGAATCCCAGAGGGAATGAACCTCAATTCTGGATTGCGTTGATCCCACTTGATGGCGCCAGAGAGAACTGTTGGCTTGTCAGTGTGATAGTATTGCTTGATCTTTTCATTGGCTGCTTCAATAGTATGGCCATTCCCAACTAGATAAGCTTGTACCTTCCATACCTTGAGTCGCCTCATATACATCTGCTTTGTAGGACCATCCTTGTTCCTTTCATCATTGGTGAAGTCCTTGGCTGCCTTGCCAAAGTAGCCAACAGACCACTCAGTCCACATCTCCACAAGGTTGCGCAGGTTCTTCTTCATCTGTGCAGTTGCTGGAACATTGCGCGTTCTAGTGCGACGTACTGCTGGTTTCCTTGCAGCTGCTGCAGCTGGCCGTGGTTGCTGTTGCTGTTGCTGTTCCTGTTCCTGTTGCGCGACTTGCCTCTCATCCAATTCATGCTGTCGATTTCTAGCTTGTCTCGCAGGATCTTGCCTCTGGAAGGCTGAATCGATAGTGCCACCAAATCGTCTCTGGTTGTTCACCACTCTGTCGAACTGTGCCTTGGCCCACTGTCGGTCTGTAGCTTGCTGTGCACGTATTGCCTGGAGTTGTTCTTGGGTTGTTTGTTCCAGGCGACGGACGTAGCCAATCAGGGTCTCAAGCTCGTTGTTGCCGTTGCCATTACCGTTGCCATTTCCATTGTTGCCATTGGCTGCACCAGCTGCAGGTTCTTGTTCCTGATGGTTTCCTATGTCCACGATATCCAGCGACCTGTTGACATTGATCACCTTCACAGAAACTTTCTCCACCGGGTTGCCTTCGAATGCTGGAAACGTTGTAGTAAAATAGGTCCTTACCCTGTCAACTTGTTCTGAAAAAGAAGGCGGTTAGATCATACCATACAAAGGATCAGAGTCAATAGTGTAGACGTACCCACTGGGAGATATTCTGATGCAGCCGGATCGAAGCAGGCCCAGAGAGTAGCCAATGCAAGTAGCATGCGAAACCTGCTGTCAGTCTGATGGCGATTGGAGTTCATGATATTAGGGATGCAGGTGAACATCAACCAATTGTCATCCATCTCAATTCCTTCCTTCAGTTTGTACCGAATGGCTCCTCCTTCACACTGGATAGCAGCAACAACTGCATCCGTGTAAGGATCTTCTTTGCAGAAGTAATGCTTGTCAACCACTTTCTGGTTGGTGTCAACAATCCACCGACCCCGGAATTCACACTGTTCTCTGTGTGCACCACCTGCCTTTGCACGACGTAAGAAGTACTTCCTGCCGGAGTGAGTGCCCAATCCTTTGTCGGCATCTTCTCCAGTCTCATCGAAGAGTGCCTTGAACTCATCATTCTTGAAACATACGATCTCAATTCGGTTGGCATATTGCTTCTTAACATTTTTGGGACCTTTCTTTTGGTCATCATTCTCTGTCCACAGGTAGATGGCATTGGGATACAGACCCATCCACTGTTCCAGATAAACAGCAAAGTTGAGGACGACGCAAGTTTCCCAGTTGCCTGACGCCATCATGACCTGATCAGGGCAATTCTTTTGGGTTTTCACATTCTTGCTCCATGATGTTTTAGTCTTCATAGTAAAAGGAAAGTCGCGATTGCCATGTGGGGCGCTGAGCTTGAAATTTGCAGTGTCATCAATTCGGTGCATCAAGTGATTCGCCCATAGTGTCATAGCCACATACTTGTACTTATGGTTGAAGTCAGGTTGTCGTCTGAACAGTTCCAGAATCTTTAAAAATTCAGGGTGACTGTAGGCCCTCTTGTCGTTGGCATCCACTCCTTCATCTCGAGTTTCGTGCAGCTCAACTCGCTTGATAACATCTAGCACTGCAGCGGATCGAGTAGGATTGCCTGCGGCAGTACCATTGGGGAACTCAACCCACGATACCCCCTTGTTGACCATGAAATGGGAAATTGCGCCCTTGTACTTTTTCAGCGACCCTGCTCTTGCTTTGGTCGGCCGATCGTCTTCTCCTGGATTGCTCTTCCCATAAGCCTTCCATTCCAAGTATCGAGCGACATGGTGGGGCTTAACAGCGAGTAGTTGTGCCTTGGTGAATGTTTTGTTTCGGTGGTACTTGTTGTTGCCAATCCGACCATCCTTGTGGCTCATCATGTCGGAGATATAAAACTGATGCTTCATGTTTCGAGGATAGCGCCATCCCTCTTCTTCATCATCCGATGGTGGTGGTGGTGGTGGTGGTGGTGGTGGTGGTGGTGGTGGTTCTACTTCCATTTCCTCTTCATCCTCTGAAAAGGGGCTCCGTTCATCACCTGCCATGGCTGTTAACTCCAGCGTGGAACGAAACTATGAGGAAGAAGAATCTTCTTCGATAGATTCTATTTTGTGAGGAAGATGTAATCCGAGGATGGCGTCCGCATTGGACTTAAGGGCTGTAACATAAATTTGGGTTAAGTAGGTAACACGAGCTGCCACTAATGTATACAGTCCGTGTTACTTGTTTCGGTGGGTGTTTCCTTTAGATCCCGCTTGGGACTCTAGATATCCTGAGGGCATTTCCCCTAGTAGAAGTCTGTCCTCCATAGGGGATGGGGCGTTTCCTAGGGTGTGTTACAGTAGTAACATTTTGGGCTTATTCTGGGGGAAATCCGATTTATCTCTAATCTCTAACTCTACTGCAGACATTGTTGCACCAAACGCGGTTTTTTGAGGCACGAGGAGCAGCAGGAAACTTTCTGGCAAAGACCCGAACAGCTTGGTTCATGTCCGTCAAAAGCATTGTTCATCGTTGATTGTTGTTGTTGTTGTTGTTGTTGTTGTTGTTGTTGTTGATGGAGGTGCCTAACCCATTCTTGCACAGCACCATATCAGAGATCACATCATCGGTATCACCATGAAGGTTGTTACCATGATCATAGTCATGGTAGTTGCCACCGCCACGGTTGCTGCAATGGCTTGGTTTTGCACGGACGGTAGTAGTGGAGACGGAGACAAGCGAGATTCTCCGTCTTTTCCCATTTCCGACCGTGATGATGTTGACACCGACTTGGCGCTGCGGAGGAGGGATCCTACTGTCCACAACCTTCCAACCGCATTGCCAACCCAAGCGCCAACAATAGCATCAGTAGCCACAACAGCAACAGCGACAACGACACAAAGAAACAGAAGAAAAAGACGAAGAATCAATGAAAATACAACCACCCAACCTCCACCCTCCAGTGCACCGACCGCTTCACCCACCACAATTTCTTTAAATTTGGTGATTTGCGCTTATGTGGTTGCCAGGCGGATTTTGGTCAAGGCAGTTAATAGACCAATTTCGGAGGGGAGCGTCCCTGTTAGACCCTTTTCAGCGCGATCAATGACAGTGGTGTTGGCAATGTGGTAGGTTTCCCCAAAGAGCTCGACTGTTGTTGTTGTGGTAA